AGTAAGAATTGGTGGATCTTTCCATGGCTATGTTAAATAGCCAGATGGTATATCATCATCATAGCATATCATCAATAATAGTCAGCAGTTGAAAAAAATGTAGTGAGACACATAGTGGGATATCAGATTCTTATGAAGAAATACCATTCTTATGGGATGATAAATGATTCTACAAAACTCCCATTTCTTCAGCGTCACCCCGCGCCTGGCTCCAACCTCGATGACCGCAGGGGCGTCTTCACCTTGGGCGCCAGAGATCAGAATGGGATCATGGGAAAAGCATAGGAAAAGCATAGGAAAAGCATGGGAAACCCATGGGAAAACCATGGGAAAATGGTGATTTAACCAAGAAACATTATGATTTAATGGTATGTTTAATAGGATTTGGCGGGATTTTATGCTGATGAATAGGGATTAATGGAACTTACTCTCTGGTAATTTGTTACAGAGCGATTGAAAATGGCAGTTTTCAGTTCGTTGATTTACCTATGACAAATGGTGATTTTCCAACGCTATTTTGGTTTACCAGAGGGTATAAGTAGATTTATTCTCGAAAACGGAACTTATCAATGGATAAGTTGATTTGCATATGTTTGTTCTGCAAATTTGGTTTTGAATACCAATGATTGATTTGATAAACATGCTTGGTAACCTTAGCAAGTTGACACTTGCTAAATGTGTTCAATCCCACTTGATCAAGAGTACGGGACCCCTCCAACCATTCAATAACCATTCACCAATCATTCAGATGTGGGTTTGGATATATGGTACTCCAAACTCCAGTAATTTCTCATCATATTGTTTCAATAACATGCCACGAATTGAGGGTATATACCCCCCCTTTCAGACAAACCCAAATATCATAAATCAAGTTGGTTGAATCATGTTAAATCCTGACTTTAGGTGCTTTCCAAATCTTCATACGTCCCATGTAAACTATGTAAAACCCTTTTTTTGGTTGCTTAAATTCTTAAATCCCCATGATTTTCCATCCATTTCCACGAGATTTCCCATGTTCAATCCATCGAGGTGCCCCAGTTCTTGCTGGCCACACGCTGGCGGCGATGTTCGAAGAGTTGAGCGAGCCCACCTTGATGATTATAAGATGATATTACTACTATATAAAATAAATGGTGGTTCATATCCATGATAAATCAACCATAATCATATATTAAGGAAAATTACATAGTTGATCATGATGAATCAGCAAAAATCATTGAATAGTGATATTACTCTTAATATTAACTAGTAGTATTTATCGATGATGATTACAAGTAGAGCCCGGCAAGCCGGGTGACGGAAGTTTCGAGAGAGGGAAGAACCTATAAAGACAAGGGAGAGCCTATAGGAACGGCCCCTGACCATGATAATATCAATAAATAGTGATATCAATAATAGTAATATCAATGATGATTATTGTTATTATTATTATGGTTCAAACCTACTGTATATCATTATAAATTTGAATAGGTTTGATTGATTAGTGTCGTGTGTTTTATTAATATTAATGTTTATCATCAAAACATTAATTTAATACAAATTAAATATCAATAATAAAATAGTAATTGTCATGTAATATCAATAAACAGTGATATCAACAAAAGTAATATCAAGAACAGTAACATCTATGATTATGATGATTATAATGTGTAGTTGCAATGATAATGATAATGATATTTAAATATAAAAAAAGTTTTGGGGATATGAGTAGGGATATATGAACTAAATATGATTAGTTTATCATACAAATCCTTTGCTACGCTCTTCATTTGATAGGTTCTTTGCAAAATGCACTGCAATATCTACAACTGAAAAAGACCTCTAGGAATCTAAAACCCACTAAATTCCAGTATAGAAATCTAAATTCCACTAAATTCCACAGACTATTTCTATCATTTTCCTTGTGCCCTGCTGTGCTCCAGTCTGAAGATCTCAACGCCCCAACATGCATTGTTGATCGACTACCGCCTGAACATCTCACTATTGCAAATGAAAATTCGTAAGCTACATCGAATCATTAATGCAAGGTGTCTTTGGAGTTCTATAGGTTTTCCTGGTGGTCTCACTCCCCCTACACAACAAAAACAAACATTTAAAAAATCAAAAAAAAACTAAAAACAAAGTAAAAAAAGAACAACTGAACAAAAAATAAAAGAAAAACTAAAAATGTGTTTTGCCTCCTGGTGATTTTTTGGATATCAAAATAAGCCTTCTAAACAGAACTCTGCCCAATTCAGGCAGGACCAAGTTCACCCCATCCCCAAATCAGTGTCTGCATGTCTCAAATTGGCCACCATGCCAAAATTTGCATCATATCCACGTGTGTCCTGCAGTGTAAAAGATAGATCTAAAATTCTCAAAAATAGGCCAAAGAAGGCATCAAATGATGACCTATACAAACGGTTTACAGGAGTTTAGGGGACTTTAAATGGTTATGTGTATATATATATATATCACCAATTGGGATAGGTGATGGTGATGATGATGATGATGATGATGGTAGTGGTGATGGTTAGAACATGAAACTATGCAATGAAAAATACCAGGCGTTATCAAAATGCCAATAACCACAATGGTACTGCTTCAATCAACATCGACATGATAAATTAACACTGGAAAGTATAACAATAATCATGTTTGTTTGTCGTCATCATCATCATTCTAATCCAAGGTCATTCCCTTTCACAAGGCTGATGGTCAATCGACCCCCTTGCGATGGTGATGCTCAAGGGCCATTTCAGCTAGCTAAAATGGAGGTGCTGCGCATGATTGTATACATATCATATATATATATGTGTGTATGTATATATATATACATATCATATATATATACATATCATATATATATACTGTATATATATATGTGTGTTTTTTTAGCAAGTATATATGTACTTCAGGTGGATAATGCCCTTTGTTCTAAGCCAAAAACTCACTCGGTTGTACCCTTCAATCGTGATCCGATGATCCGATGATCCGATGCGGATCGGTTGGGTTCAGGTTGTACCCTCTGGTAAACATACAAAAAACTATGGAAAATGGTGATTTATAGTGGATTTACCCATTAAGAATGGTGATTTTCCATACATAACTATGGAAAATCACCATGTTTAATGGGAAAACTCACTATTTCTATGGCCATATATATATATATCATCATCAACATCAACATCAACATCACCATCAGCATCAACATCAGCATCAGCAGCATCGTCATCGTCATCCTCATCATCATCATCATCATAATCTAAATATAAATATAAATATATGTATGTATGTATATATATAACAAGGAGGATGAGGATGAGTCACCTCCTTGCACCATCCACTAAAACCGAATCATTCACCGATCCTCGCATCCCTTTGCACCAAGAGACCCATGTGCCCCACAAAGAGCTGGAATTCCTGTGCATCACTGAGATTTTCCCTGATGGTAAGCAAATCTGGCATTGGAAAATCATGGAAAACTCCTGTGTTCAACAGGGAACTCATAGATTCAATAGATCATGGCTAGCTGGATTTTCTCACTATCAATGGCGGATTGTCTGTTGCCATGTCTGATTACCACAGGGCAGCTGGATGACGCCAGCGGTTGAAGCTCAGCTCAGTTGACAACTGGAAGTGGTGAAGCTCCAGGCAGAATGATCCCGCTGAACCACCGTCCATGTGACCCCACAAAAAAAAAGTTATTATGTCTAATTACCTTCACACAGCTCCCTCAACCCCCCAAGAAACTCCAAGAATGGAAAATGATGGAAACTTGCCTGTTTATAGATGATAAATCCCTATGAAACATGGTGATTTTCCAGTTCGCAAACTGTCAATGACCAGTAATCCATATAAATAAATCGCATGTATCACTATCATCCTCGATATTCGTCACAATTTTCATATTCATCCCATACAGTGCTGTTTGATGAGAGGTTCCATGGGCTTCATTGCGGGATCCCTGTCCTGGAAGGTGACTTTCTGGTCAGCGTCCAGGTCCATGAGCCGCGCTTCCTCCTCTCCCCAGCCTGCGGAACTGGATTTTGCGGGGTGAAACGGCGGTTTTTTTGGTCCATGCACCATGGATTTTTTGGGGACTAGATGTTGAAAGATGTTGAAACTGGATTTTGTTGTTCTCCCCTTGTGTTTCCAACGTTTTTGTGGTTCTGTAAGCTGTAACCTTCAATTCTGGGACAGTCATTGGCTTTGGGGGGGAGGGTAATATGATACCACTATAATAGATAGATATAGATCATATATATATAATTAGTTATATATCATATGATATATATATATATATTATTTACATTATATATATATTAGTTATATTATATATTATAATATATATATATATATTATATATTATATATATATTGTTATATATTATATGCATATCATATTAACACTGTATACTCATCTCGGTAGCACATCTACAGCCTGGTGGATTTCACCAGTACCTCTGCTACTGGCAGACAGCCGTTGTTCGCAAACCGGTCATGAGCCAAACATTAGTTGGGATTAGTTATGGGAAAACGTGTGGTAATAACCCAAATATATTGGGATTATTAGTTTGGTAATATGTTGAAATTATTATTGGCTCAAAAAAGATTGGGATTATTATCCGACTGATTCACCATAAAGATCCCCATGAGCCCCTGAATGGAAAAATCCCCAACTGAATGGAAAGTCATAAATTTCATGTTCCAAACCACCAACCAAACAGTCGGCTTTTCTGCATGCCAAGTATAAAAGTATTACATTGACTGGCTGAAAGAAAAACGTTGGGAGTGATATTTCATGCACATGTTGGAAACCAAACTGTGCGACAACATCCAACTCCTCTTGTACTACCCGTTTCCTCGATATTCTCATTGCTTGAAGTCAAGATTTCCGGAGAACTCGAAAACCAGGACCCCAGCTGACATGAAATATCAAGATCCTGATCTTGAACATCTCCCGTGCTTGTGGGATTGTGACTAATCATTGCCGTACTTCATCACATGGGGTCCATGTGATCATGACAACAGAAAACCCTGGCTCATCCCAAATTCGGCGGCGCCGAATAGGTCCAGATTAGTCAAGATCAAGCGGCCCAGATAGGCGCAAAGGTATTTGAACTCGTTCTGGTCCAAATAGTTGGAACCATCGTGATCAAACCTGGCCCGAAAATCCATTGGGAACTAAGGGGGAACTAGCGAGCTACATCAGAAACTCTGCATATGATCATTGCAAGGACCTGATTGTGCACCAAACACTGCTGATCCTAGATACCAAGTAAAGAAAGCTGAGCATTGTATTACTGTATTACCCCCTGGTTGTTTCACATAGCTATGGAAATTTACCCATTTAAAGATTGTTTACCTATTAAAAAAATAGTGGTGTTGTCCTTAGCTGTGTTAAATTGGCCACAGGCCCACCAACCACCCATGGGGATGGGCCAAGTCATATCATCTTGAGAACAAAATATTCGACAAAACATTGTGTTGTTCAAGACAATCAATAAATAAATCAACAAGTAAAAATGTGGGTAAATTATAATATTTCACTAACCTGAATTAAGGCCATATTGGGATGATTTCCCTTACTAACCATGATTCCCAGAAAAATGTGTTGGTAAAGGAAAAAAAAAGTCGTCCTTCCCCACAGGGTACCCTCTCCTGTTGCTGGCCAAACCCGCCAGCCCGACCTGCGGAAGGCGTCGCGGATCTGCGCGATTTCGTACTTCAAACCTGGTGGACAGTGGGGTAACGTTGCTTCGCCACTCAAAAAGGCTGATTTCATCATCCAAAGCTTGGATTGAGGATGATTGAGAGTTGAGTTATGGTAAGTTGGCTTTATATTTTGGCTAAGTAGGGTTTATGGTGGATGCATAAAAACATGATATGGATGGGGTTTGAAGCCCATTTATAACTGTGGGTGACCTTTTTCGCCGCGTTGCTGATACAAAAATTGGTCAAATTGGATCATTCCAAACAGGCGATAAAAATATCTTACACCACCAAGCAGTTTGGATGTCTCATGCTTTACCTCTGGTAAACATACAAAAAACTATGGAAAATCACAATTTTTAATGGGAAAACTCACTATTTCTATGGCCATTTTCAATAGCTATGTAACAAATTACCAGAGGGTAAACAAAAAATTCTGGCTTGAAATTGGCCCATGAACCTAGAAACCAAGCTGCTTCCCAGATTCCCGAGCAGCCTGAAAGTCTTTAATTGGAAACTCCCCAGAAATCATCCCAAATCCCATCAGGCTCCACTTGGAGGATCCACAGTTATGATCCATCTACAGTTTTAGTTCACAGTTATAATATGTTATAATCAATATCCCACTTACATATTATCCCACTTACCACAGTTATAATCCATAGAATCGGATAAGCCACTGAATGATGACTTACTGAACAGGCATAGCCAGGCTCTATCACACCATGCCGCCACACCAGTCGCAGGTCTGAGGAGCTGCGTTGGATGCGTTCGATGCAGCTCGCGGCTTCCTTGGAGTTCCGCATGATGACATACTCCCGACACCTGGGCACCGGCTGGGCCAGCTGGGCCCGAAAAAAGAGCACGAAAATCCTCGGAAAATGGGGGTCAATGATGGTAAATTGAAGCTTTCCCATATTGGGGTTGCTTCATATCCCATCTTTTTGAATTTGGTATTTGATATATGATAGCCAAAAAGTCCCTCCTGACCGATTGATTAAAGGCGGCCAGTGCATCGATTCCTATGGCTGGTGGATCGAACTAAAGAGATATGGAGCTGATGACACCGGGGCGTAGCAATTTGGTAATCCATTAATTATCCCTGATGTTTATAAATAAATATATAGGTACACAGAATTATATATATATGTATCCCGTGATTGTTGGTTAAATCTTTCATTACCCTCTGGTAAACTAACATAGCTATAGAAAATCACCATTTGTTATGGGTAAATCAACTATAAATGGCCATTTTCAATAGCTATGTTTACCAGAGGGTATTCACCATCTACAGATGATTGGTTAAAAACATATCCATGCATGATCCATCAGCATGACGCTGATCAAGTCATCCAGACGCCTGCGCACGAAGTACAAGAGCTGGTGAGGCGTGGGTTCCGTGCCGGTCGGTTTCCTGGGCCGAGCGTCTCGAAAAAATGGGACGTGTCATCTGATTAAGTTCGGCAAGTCGAATCTGAGTCCCACGAAATACTTTGAAGGCTAAAGGTTAATTCGTGCACTATCTGAGTTAGATTGAATTAGGACTTTACTTTTCCATTTTTTGGCAGGGTGCTTTTGATATGTTTGATCTACCAACCCGGAATTGTCCAGCTAAATCAGATTATCAGACGGTATGAAATTCATCCATTCTCCTTCAGAAGTCCGCTTTGGGACCGTCATTTTGTTCCATACTGTCAACCAAAAAAGGCATCTTCAAAAACACATAACCCCCTAGTTCAGCAGCGTCCCGAAACTGGCGATAATTCATGATAATTCCAGTTATAGCAACTTTAAAAAATCATGATAATTCTATGGCAACTATTTAAAAAAAAAAAACGTATTCCCTGTAAACAAATTGCGTAGGAGGATCATCCCAAAAAGCGCAACCCTGCGCACAAGTTTCAGTTAAGGGATTCTCATGGCTTACATATTTTGACTCCTCGCAACCAGTCAATCACTGGTGTGACCCCTCCAAGTCACCCCCCTAATCTTATATATATATGATATTGTTTTCGATACCAGCAATATCATAAAACTGTCTATTAACGTATCACATTAATTTATCCGAATATCATGATATCTATCGATATCTCCTAATTAGACATAACATACCATTCCATTCCATCCCATTACATGTATATATATATACATATTATAGATACATATATAAACATAAATAATCATAAATACTTTTTTAATACATATATATATATACATACATACATACATTACATACATACCTACATAATCATACATATATTTAACACAGACATGAACTTCCTCAAGGTCCGGCACCGTCCATCGTGTGTGGCTTTCCCCCTGGGCCCAGCGTCAGGTAGGGATGTTCCTCGGTGATCTGCGCCAGGTCCGCCACCACCGCCGCCATGGAGGCGTCCTCCGAGAGATCCCCGAAGTTCTGGCGCCAAAGACGGCCACGGAGGACGACGAAGTGAGCAAAAACCATGGGGAAAACCATGGGAAAATGGGAAAATCATGGGAAAATGATGGGAAAACCATAGGAAAATGGGAAAATCATGGGAAAACATTGGGAAAACCATGGGAAAACCATGGGAAAACCATGGGAAAATGCTGATTGAAGCAGCAAAAATGTTGGAGTTCCTTGGGATCTAGAGCTGATTCATGATAGCTAAGGGGTAACCTTGGATAAATTGATACGAACGTGTCGGAACAGGAAATAAAACGTGCTGTAAAATAATGCGAAAAAAAATGCAACATTTTGGAGGGCACAGAACGGAGAAAATCCGGTGTCATTCCCCGCAAGCAAAACTCAGGAAAGTCTAAACAAAGCCGGCCTCCTTGCAGCTTGTGCCACATGGTTACTAGATGATTCTACTTTGACTTTCTTGGATTGCGCTGTGACCAGATGCAAACCCAAGAAGCGATAATTCTTAGTCATTCAAAGTGTACTGAGACTTACGGATGCATTTCGGCCACCAAACAACCCTCAAGGACTAGAATATAAGCTCACAAACTAGCTATACAGTCACATTCTCAGTTGTTTGTCCACATCACTATAAACATGTGTATAATGTGTACAGTATCTCCATGTATGTTGATTTACAGCAATAGCAATCTGTTTAGATCCACTATGACTCCCCCGCGGATTTGGATGAAAATTCGATGGTTCTGAGCAAGCCCACATCACATTGCTGATGATATCCACATCACGTATCCCCATTATATCCACATGATGAGTGGTTTCATACCCCATCTCTTCTTAGGTAAATCCCTCAGTTCCAGGACAAACCCAGCAATTTTTTTGGAGTTTATACATATTATATATATATACATTTATACATATATATATAATGTACTATAATCACAGAATATATATCAAAGTTGACTGTTAAAGTCATATCCCAAGATCATCCCATAGATGTCCATGAAATCACCATTTGCGCAACATACAAATCGACTTCCCACCGCGCAACATCTCACCTTCAACATCTCTTCATGACTGGCGCCGCTGTACCCGATGGGCCCGTCGCCATGACAACATTGACACCCCATTTAAGCGCAACGACAGGTCAACCGCGTCACGCGGGGGCCACAATGGCGGGGTGTGAAACAACGCGGGCAACAAAAAGGACTGCGCGCTGCGAATTCTGAAGCATGAAGAGCATACAAATCCATCTATACTGGCGTTTGTCTCGAAAAGTTCTTTGTCATGTTGAGGTCATGTTTTTTCAGGGGATAAATCTCTGATCACAATCGATAGAACGGTTTTCTGGCGGCAAAACGCTGCGGGCAGCAGGTCACAATGTGCGGCTACCAGCCTGGTACCCGGATGGTCCCCTAAAATAGCTGGTGAATGGATGGTTATTCCCCTGAATAATATGATAATACTACATAATACTGGTACGAGTAATAATAATAATGATAATAATAGGTTTTGACCCATCCCCGGTATTTACAGTCAATCAGAAATACAATGAATTTCTACGTACCTTGAGAGTATCATGGGAATAGCACCGCTGATCACGAATCACTGACCCTTGGATGCTTCAACTATGCGGTACCGATCTTCCGAAAATGTCCCAACTTTTGAGCTGGTCAGGATTGCCTACCTAGACGTCCGAGCCAGAATGACGAAGAGATGGTTGCTTAGTAGGTATTCCTATGATAGGTCGTAATAATATGCCCGAATAGACCGGGTAGGTTAAAATCGGCCCCTATACATAACAACAAATCAAAAAAGTAGATAGTGTTTTTCGTGGTTGAGATGACCATCTTTTGCAACTCTTGGATCGATATATGGGGATGGGTCAAAACCCTGGTACCTAGTGAACCCCAAAATAGCTGGTAAATGGATGTTCATCCCACTAAAAATGTATCTATAGGTATTGACCCATACCCATATCAATATGGCTGTGTCCGAAAATCGGCTATGCCCAAGTGGATGGTTGAAACAAGTTGAAACCTTGATTGAAACCTCGATTGAAGTGGCAATTCTGCGGTAGCGGTATATCCGCTATACACCCATTGTTAGACAAACCCACATCAACATATTAAGTTATGTATGTCTATAATTATATATATACATCATATATATATACAATTAGACACATATGTATGTATGTATGTATGTATGTATGTATGTATGGATGGATGGATGGATGGATGGATGCATGCATGTATGTATGTATGTATATATATATATATATAACTTATATATTATATATATTTATAGACACACACACATGACATATCATATTCCCATCATACATATTTGATCATATTTGCATGTGCTGGATGTTAGAGCATTGGCTGTTTTGGCGACGACATGTTTCTTCCCCCTTCGAAGAAGGTTTTCCCTGGTTCGTGCATCACGCTTGGACCCTAGTTAACCAAGTTATAAGCGACAATACCGCTTTTGATTGGCTAAATACTAAGTTTGGTTGATTCAAATCCATATTTTGGTTGGTTGTTGCTGCATCCCCCATTTTGGTTGGTTAAATACCCATTTCCGTTGGTAAAAGCTCTTTTGGAGGGTTAAATCCCAATTTTGGTTGATTAAGTCACAATTTTGGTTGGTTCACCTGCTGAAATGCCCATTTTGATCAAACCCCCATCTTGCTGGGTTAAATCATGTTAAATCCCTTTTTGGTGGGTTACCCTCTGGTAATTTAACGTAGCTATTGGAAATGGCCATAGAAATAGTTGATTTACCCATTAAAAATGGTGATTTTCCATAGCTATGTTAGTTTACCAGAGGGTAATTCCAAGTGTTCACCGATGTTGTTTGGCCTCCACCCTTGACCTCTTGACATTTTGGCGGCGCCTGCATTTGGCTCACATCCTCCTTGAGTTTCTGCAGGAACTGCACCAAACGCCTCAGGGGCTACCCTCGAAATAAACCTGGCATAGGAAAACACACTATATAGGAGCCCAAGGAAAAATCATCTACTGTACCCACCGGAAAACCCTCCATTGACATCAATCACATGGCGATTGGGCTGGAAAATCCATTGATTTAGTTCGATCATGTTCCCGGCGAACTAAACCTCCATGGCTAGGCCACGGGGATTTTCCAGCCATGTTTGATGAGCACAGGGTGCAGTTGGGTCAATTTTCCATTGTGACAGGTTGGGTTACCAGAGACCAAAATGGAAACCCCCGAAAATAATGAAACCCTGGAAGATAATTCTCTTTAGGAGTTCCATTGTTCTGAATTGCATATTTTGTGGTGCGAAAAAGACATGGAAGAGGGAAACATTCTTCGAGGCCGAGAAATCCATTGTATCTGTAGATGAATAGAACATGATTGGTCTACATAATACGCACGTAGAAGCTGCATCTATAGTCGTGACAGCTGGTATAGACATCATCCCATCGTCCCAAGTTTCATTAATTGACCGTTCATTTTTCAATGATATACGTAGAGTCAAAGCTGACAAAAGGCCCTTGTCAAATCCCATCCCCATGAAATCATGGTTCATTCCATTCAAAAAAAAACGCTGTGCGACAATAGTTATGGTCGAATCCAATATTTTTTGGTTGTTAAATACCATGTTTGATCATTTGTCTTGCTTAACTCCCGATGTTCCACCAGTTTTCATGGTCAACTCCCGATGTTTCCACCAGTTTTCATGGTCAACTCCCGATGTTTCCACCAGTTTTCATGGTGAACTCCCGATGTTTCCACCAGTTTTCATGGTGAACTCCCGATGTTTCGACCAGTTTTCATGGTGAACTCCTGATGTTTCCACCAGTTTTCATGGTGAACTCCTGATGTTTCCACCAGTTTTCATGATGAACTCCTGATGTTTCCACCAGTTTTCATGGTGAACTCCCGATGTTTCCACAAGTTTTCATGGTCAACTCCCGATGTTTCCACCAGTTTTCATGGTGAACTCCCGATGTTTCCACCAGTTTTCATGGTGAACTCCCGATGTTTCCACCAGTTTTCATGGTGAACTCCTGATGCTTCCACCAGTTTTCATGGTGAACTCCCGATGTTTCTACCAGTTTTCATGGTGAACTCCCGATGTTTCCACCAGTTTTCATGGTGAACTCCCGATGTTTCTACCAGTTTTCATGGTGAACTCCCGATGTTTCCACCAGTTTTCATGGTGAACTCCTGATGTTTCCACCAGTTTTCATGGTGAACTCCTGATGTTTCCGCCAATTTTCATGGTGAACTCCTGATGTTTCCACCAGTTTTCATGGTGAACCCCTGATGTTTCCACCAGTTTTCATGGTGAACTCCTGATGCTTCCACCAGTTTTCATGGTGAACTCCCGATGTTTCCACCAGTTTTCATGGTGAACTCCCGATGTTTCTACCAGTTTTCATGGTGAACTCCCGATGTTTTCATGGTGAACTCCGATGTTTTCATGACCAGTTTTCATGGTGAACTCCTGATGTTTCCTAGTTTTCACTCCCGACCAGTTTTCATGGTGAACTCCCTGATGTTTCCACCAGTTTTCATGGTGAACTCCATGTTTCCACAGTTTTCATGAACTCCTGATGTTTCCACCAGTTTTCATGGATGAACTCCATGCCTTGTTTCCACAGTTTTCATGGTGAACTCCTGATGTTTCCACCAGTTTTCATGAACTCCTCCCGATGTTTCCACCAGTTTTCATGGTGAACTCCTGATGTTTCCACCAGTTTTCATGGTGAACTCCTGATGTTTCCGCCAATTTCATGGTGAACTCCTGATGTTTCCACCAGTTTTCATGGTGTGAACCCCTGATGTTTCCACCAGTTTCATGGTGAAACTCCCGATGTTTCCACCAGTTTTCATGGTGAACTCCCGATGTTTCTACCAGTTTTCATGGTGAACTCCCGATGTTTCCACCAGTTTTCATGGTGAACACCCGATGTTTCCACCCGTTTTCATGGTGAACTCCTGATGTTTCCACCAGTTTTCATGGTGAACTCCCCCACCAGTTTTCATGGTGAACTCCTGATGTTTCCACCAGTTTTCATGGTGAACTCCTGATGTTTCCACCAGTTTTCATGGTGAACTCCCGATGTTTCCACCAGTTTTCATGGTGAACTCCCGATGTTTCCACCAGTTTTCATGGTGAACTCCTGATGTTTTTCCACCAGTTTTCATGGTGAACTCCTGATGTTTCCACCAGTTTTCATGGTGAACTCCCGATGTTTCCACCAGTTTTCATGGTGAATCCTGATGTTTCCACCAGTTTTCATGGTGAACTCCTGATGTTTCCACCAGTTTTCATGGTGAACTCCTGATGTTTCCACCAGTTTTCATGGTGAATCCTGATGTTTCCACCAGTTTTCATGGTGAACTCCTGATGTTTTTTCACCAGTTTTCATGGTGAATCCTGATGTTTCCAACAGTTTTCATGGTGAACTCCTGATGTTTCCACCAGTTTTCATGGTGAATCCTGATGTTTCCAACAGTTTTCATGGTGAACTCCTGATGTTTCCACCAGTTTTCATGGTGAACTCCTGATGTTTCCACCAGTTTTCATGGTGAACTCCTGATGTTTCCACCAGTTTTCATGGTGAATCCTGATGTTTCCACCAGTTTTCATGGTGAACTCCTGATGTTTTTCCACCAGTTTTCATGGTGAATCCTGGTGTTTCCAACAGTTTTCATGGTGAACTCCTGATGTTTTTCCACCAGTTTTCATGGTGAATCCTGATGTTTCCAACAGTTTTCATGGTGAACTCCCAGTGTTTCATGGTGAACTTCCATCCCAATTTTCCACATCTCCACATCTTCCCCATCTCCAGCCCCATCGCCTCGATGTGTTGCTGGTCGTTTGGATCTTCCCTTCGGTGCTGCTGCACCTCTCCTGGGCTTTCTGATGCTCGACTTCCAGCGCCTGGAGGGACATTGGGATGGGCAAAAATGGGGAAAAAATGGGAAAAAATTGGGAAAAGATGGGAAAAGATGGAAAAATTGGGAAAAGATGGGAAAAGATGGGAAAGATTGAATACTAAATAGCAAAACTCTGCGATGAACTGGCACTGCGGAGAAGATTCGCAAAACATGTGAAGCAATTGGATATACATTAATATAGATGTGGTGAGACTTACTGAACATATGGGAAACAAGCTGAGAAATATGAGAAAAGAATGTAGGAAAATATGGATATAGTTTGCCAAAACTCAAGTCTTACCGTATACCATGTTTTTACCGCCTGATTTGATGATCTAATATCATGGCCGGATACTCCAGGAATCGACTGGAGAACTTTTGCACTGAATTTCGTAGGGATGTAACCAACAAAGACTCGGATATTTTATGGAGATAGGAGATAGGAGATATGATATATGATATATGATATATGAAATATATATATATATATTATGTTATATATATATATATTATGTTATAAATATATATATATATTATATATAACCAACAATGGCCAACAACATGGCCAGTCTAGTGATAATGACTAAGTATGATTAAGTCGTGAGTTCAGGGGTACATAAGGGCGAAACCGTGGCTGGGGGGGTTCCACGCAAAATGAATTCACCGCCCCCCGCAGGTGTTATAGGGAAAACAGTTTGGTGGCTAGGGTGGGAATGGGTGGGGGATACAGGCAAAACTACGTTACAAATACAATATCTTGATGAGGGGTTGGTGTAAGTGCCATAATTGGTGATTCCAACTGTATCTTGATTCTAACCCCATTGTCTGCCTGTATACTCCATCTTTTCTGTGGAAGTGGAAAGTGGAAAGAATTCACTATCTCTTGGTGTTTCCATCCCACGTGTGTTGTCTGCAACAATGGGCGGAAAAACCTTGAATCATAACTCTCCCCACTAAAATGGCAATAATGGGCAAATCCCGTCCCACAGAAGATCCCCACTTGGTGAATCCCTTAGTCTTCCCAAAAATTCCCCATATTTCCAGCCATTTTTCATGACACCGTTGCAGGTAGACACCGGTAAACCTGCCGCGCCTTGAGTTTCTTCTCCAGTTCTGCCTTCTCCACGTCCAGTTTCGCAAGTTCCTGCGACCGTTCGGCTCCAGGGCGGATAAGCTGAGAAAAAAAATGTCATCCCTTTTCTGAAAAAAACACCTCTCTAGAAATATTGTTATGTATACATATACAATAATATACCGTATGTTAATATATCTATCTATATTTATGTATTATATTATATACGCAAATATATATATATATATACATTACATACCATTACATGAATTGATCTACTCAAGGATTCCAGGGTTCTGGGCAGAGCGGCCTTCATTTGCGTCTCGTTCTGTTGTTTCAGCAGCGCCATCTCATCGACGGGCTTGGAGGCCTGGCCCCAACTGGATGGGTAGTTCGTTTAATTTTTTTGTGGTTTGCCATGTTTAAATGGAAAATCTTATGGAAAAATAACCATGTTTATGGAAAATAATCTGGAAAATAAAAAATCGCCAGAAGGAAAAATAAACGTTTACCGTATTTTTTGTGGACTACCAAAGATCGGCGATGTATTTACCTTCACTCTGTGGAGGGTTCTTGAAATGGGGCAGCCCCTGGGATTCAACCTTTCGGAATCTTCTCCAACGCTCAGTTGCTGTATTACTGTATGTATGATCACATATATATATATATATACATATGATAATCCATACGGGGATATGATTGGAAAATATGCTGGAAATCTGATGTGGATATGATGGGAATATGCTGCAAATTTTGTACTTTATGTAATGGATATTGTGGGATATCATATGATCCAACTTTACAACACAGAGGATTTACTCAACGGTATGTTTCATTATTGCTGGATGAGTACAGGATGGTGCCCCCCAGTTATAATAAATTTGTTTTTAAACCCCATTAACATCCATTTACTATAGTTGTATCTACCAACCATAGAATTCAGACACTTATAAGGCAACTGAACGCCAGCTTGGGGGCCCCAAATCAGTAGGGGGGTTACTGTTAATCTCATTGACCAGCTTCAGCGCGATGGAGCAGCCAGAGGCTCATCATATATCACATGTGCCATAGACAAAAGATGGTGGCTTGTGGTCATCGATACCACATTGGGAACCCAAACATGATGGGTATATAAATCCGTCTGAATGGATTGATGACAATCCCCCAATGCGGGAAAAAAACCCAAGAATTGACGGAATCCTGCGTGAGCGAAGTCGCAGCACCAACGCCCCCTTCTCGGTTAAGGGGGGCACGAGGTGTCAGAAGGGGTGTGAACCGAGAATGGAAAGCACACAGCTAACTACAATGTACTGGCCGTATGCCAGGGAAATGTCACACCAAGAACAGCAGTTGACAAACCACATCGCGCGGTTGTCCCTTGCCGAGTGAAAAGACAATGCCATACACAAACAGCAATTTTGCCAGAGCTGCATCGAAAATTACATATCTTGGAAGGCTGTACAGCAAGAACAAGCCCAAGCATCGACCAAAAGAGTTTTGGCAGACAAGTACAAGCAAGCATCAACTGCAAGCAAATCAAGACAAGGAAAAGCTAGTCACAAAGTGCAGGCACCTAACTGTTGGTAACACTCCGGGTGTTTCGTTCTCTGGTTATTTTGCTTCTTGTATTGTGCGGTCACGACTTCCTACTCAATGACAAGCTCGGGTGGCAAGCAATCAACATCATCCAAGTCAAACTGACAAGCCAGAACCTACAAGTGATGCACAAGAGTGCGCTGGTAGGCAAGAACACACCCATGACTCAAGTAGTACAGGGCAAAGGCTGAAGTCACTGGCAATTCACAGCATTGCTGAAAGCGAGTGACATGAGTCCATACATAAGATCCTCCGCAAAGCAGTGCAACGACACGCACCATGCCATAAGGGCTTGGGTTCCTCCATTCAGGTGTTGGCATCACACCTCCACCATTTGTCAAGGCGTCAAGACATGTGGCAAGGCCAAAGACATGCAAGCAAACAACGGACGTCAATCTACTCCTTGGTCTCTTAAATAGGTAACTGTTTGTGATGTCATGTGGATAGCGACATGCCACGGAACTGCTGTTTCACCAAAGATGAGAAGCGTCCAACAACAGAACCTCAAAAGAGCCCACAAGGCCAGTCAACGTCAAAACACAAGTCACTCGATAGTGGCAGGGGCAAACCGAAGGCAATGGGGTCACATACTCGATGATCTGCAGAGGGTCAACGTGGGAAAACTGCATGGCTCAGTTAGAAAGGGGCCATCTCCCCACACCGCTACGTGGAAGACTGAGCCCAGAGGATACCCAAGTTTTGACCACAGCAAATATCAAAATATGTTCATAAATTGGTGGCGTATCCCAATCCTGGACAAACCCAAAGAGTGTAAAATTCACTTATTGACACTTCAATCATATTTCATTCATTCATCCGCTGCTAGTCCAAAACTGTGTTTCCAGCCAATTCCTCCCTGAAACTTGAACGAACTAGAACCCACAAAAACCAGCAAAAACTCCATCATTTACTGGTTCAACCCCAATGTGTACTAATCCCATCCCCGAAACATTCAAGACCCCATAAATGGTCCCAAACATGTGTACATCCCTACTAGGCCCTACTAAACCATGGTTTATTGGATGGTGTTGAATTTTAGGGCGATAAGATTAGTTATTCCCTATCTTGCTATTATATCGACATCATACCCCCATTCCATCCCCATTTATTGTTGCCTATATCACCCATTAGATCCCCACAACATGATTGGTTTTTGCCCCCCGGCCACACCCTATATCGTGAAAAATCTCCGCCTGTTGCAACTGCTCCTGTAGTTCCTTGACTCGACGTTCAAGATGGCTGGTTTGTGCCTTCAGAAGAGAACCAAAGGGTCCAAATGGGTTTTGATTGTATATTTATGATATATATATATATATATATATAACCAAATTATGGTAGAAAAAGTTGGTTGATAACTCATATAACTAGGTTTTCTGGTGGATATATATCTGTAGGTCCTGTAGGTGGGTTTCTACACCTTCTACACCCGGGAAAGCCTTCCTGCATGGACGGGGAGATCGTGTTTTTCTGAAGAGAAAGCGACCTTTTTGCTGTTTTTGCTACTGAAAACCACGATTTTTGGTGGTCAATTTCAGCATTTTCTGCTGCGAAGTTCAGAATTTCTGCTGCGTGCAACGTCCAATTTTTTCCGCCAGATTTTTGTAGATTCGACGGAAACAAAAATGGTGCTGAAGACACCCCATTTCGATGAGGGTGGTTCAAACCCAATGTTCGGCGTCTAAAACAAAAAATGATGAAAATAACAAAACCGATGTAGATCATATTTGTTTTGGTTGCTTCATCCGCTACCCTCCAGCAAATTGACATGGACAGGGACAACCCGCCATTTATAGGTGATTTCATAGGGTTCCCCATGGCGATTATTCCATATCTTGCTGGTTATATCCTGTTCTGGTTGGTAAAATCACGATTAAATCCACCTATTCGCCGGCATCAATCCAAAAATCAGGCACTCTCAACCACTACTACCGCTAACCTCCAGTAAACTAACATAGATATGGACAATCCATCATTTCAGATCATTTCGTACATAGCCATTCTACCATTATCAACCACTCTTGGTCACCGTCAATCATGATCAAATACTCATCATTCTCAACCACTATCACTATATCTAACCATCATTCATCCAAGAATTCACTTACAACTTATGTGCTTGGGATGTTCTAGACACGTACCTGCAACAAAACATGGTTATCGGTATAGGGTCGCCCCCTGCAGTATCGGTAATGAAGGTTTTGCACACCCCTCGGCAAGGCTAAGGCGAAGCAAGACTAAATTACTGTAGTATTACAATAGTTTTGTCGGTCACTCATGGGGTGAACCCAATAATAAACCATCCCCAATATAGGTATATTATTGGGTATACCTCTGTTTGGGACAATTTGTAATAGCCTCCAAATGGTTGGTCAATGCGATGGTTTATTCTTCAGTTTTACCACATGATTCTCCAGTTGAACATATAGTTAAGTCCATGTTGTAGTTATATCCCTAGTTGAATCCCTGTAAAATCCCTAGAAATCTATATCCCTATAGTTCTAGCGTTTATCCATACAGGTCAGTTATAAGTTGGTTTATAACCTCAAATATCATTATGTGCGCATCATACACTATTCTTATTATAGTTTATGTTAACCAACTTAGCTAACTTATTACAGTTATAACCCAACTTATTGTATCCCTATACCCTCTGGTAAATTAACATGACGACCCTGGCAGTCATCGGGGTTGGAAGACTAGTTTCCATTAAAAATTTTCGTGATTTTCAGGGTCTATGTTTATTTACCAGAGGCTAAAATCCCTAGAAATCTATGAATTCTTCCCTTTCCTGGCCACCCGTTGCCGCAACAGCCACAAAAACAACGGGGCCTCGCTGCACTGCTGCTCCGCGCACTCCGTTTGCCGGGCCGTCTCGGTACTGTTGGCCCTCACCTGGTGCTTGGTGACTATGAATAGCTATAATTATCACTGGATTGGTTGGGAAAATCTACAGGAAACCATGGTTTTCCCCATAAAATATAGGAAAACCATCGGAAAACCATCGGAAAATGATGATTTAAGCGAGAAGAATGATGATTTAATGGGATTTTAATGGGATAATAATTACTATCTAGTTATACCCATTACTATAAAAAAATGGGATAATATAACATAATTACATATAATTACTATAGTCATAATTATGTTATAATTATCATCTATAAATAGTGATGATAATGATAGTGATTCTTCATAGAAAATATTCATGGATTCATATTATTATGGTGATATTCATCTATTGTCATCTATGGATCATATCTATCCATGAAAATGAATAGTGATTAAGTGATTCATATCTAGTGCTTAATATTCATTAATCAGTTGCGATGTGGTTTATAACCTCTATATGACTGGGGATATCTCTTACATATTTCATATGGTAAAAGACACAACAAAAAAACTTCTACATGGAACTGCAGTCCCAAGTACTAGAGATGGATCCATTAAGAAGGGTGCTTCATATCCATGAAAATAGTGATTAATAGCCATTTATAGTGATTAAGAATTGGATTAATATCAATTTAAAATCCATATAGAGTAACAACAAAAGTAACTATATGTGTATCCTGTACCATTAATGTGGCTAATATCTAATAATTCATCAAGGGGGTTAATGTGGGTTGGAGGCGAATATCCACTCATAACCGTGTACAATATATCCAGCAACATCAATCTATATCCATTAATATCTATTTATATATATATATATTTATATCCATGAATATCCACTGATATCCATTAATATCCACTAATATCCATTAATATCCACTAATGTTCATTTAACGAAGTGGTAAATAAGGGAGTTATGATGGGTTTATGGATTACATGGATTTTAACCATCCAAACTGGGGAAGTAAGCAGCAAATATGGGAATATAATGGGGATATGTATGTGTATGTGTGTATATATATATATATATATGTATCCTGTATCCATAAGAAGTGTGGTTGATATCCATCAATAGTGACTATTATATACCAACATATAATTAATAATTGGATTAGTATGGGTTACTCTCTGATAATTTGACATAGCCTTGGAAAATCACCACGTTTAATCAATAGTTATGTATGTGTATATTTATAGGTCACTCTTAGTCAGCGAAATTAGTCATTGGTATGTCAATGGTATATTAATTATTAAACCCATCCCCCTCATTTCATGTTAAACACCCCGATTGTATGGTTCCAAATACCTGGAAAAGCCTCTGTTCTTTTGTTTTCTGGGGAATATTTGGTGTTTAATATTATCGGGATGGGATTATATATAGCATGAAAATCATCATGCATTGAAGAAGAAAGTTAAACAGTTCATCAAAATGTGTATGTATTGAAGTTTCTTCAAATGGGGGTACCCTTAAATCATTCATTTTTGGGGGATGTTGCATTATAAACCATCCAGCTGTTGGGGTACCCCATTTTAGGAAACCTAATAGACACAGGATTATCAACATGATTTCACTAAATATGTCCAATGTATATAAAAAATATATTATCAACATATCAGAAATATATTGATAGACCCCTTTCAGAAATATATTATTATATGTAGGTTTCCTGAAATGGGGGTACCCCTAAATCATCCATTTATAGATGCATGTTCCATTATAGACCATCCATTTTGGGATACCCCCATTTATGGAAACCACCATATATTATCAACATGTCCAATATATATATATATTATATTATACTATATATATATTATATTATATATATATTATATTATATATATATTATATTATATATATATATTATATTATATATATATATATATTATATTTCACTTGTAGCTACCCAGACATCTTCTCCCCGCCTGGCCTGTGCTGAGCCAAGTTCCTGCTCCATGTTTTGGACCTGCGGGGGATGCTGGTCCTGTCCCAGACTAAAGCCCTAAGTGATCATTTCAGGGTTACCATATGGCCATATGGTTTTGTCTGAAAATAGGGTACTCCAAAATCCAATGGTCGATAGTCATATTCTCCATGAAAGTAGCTACATTGATAGTGTATACCCCATTTCCCGTCGTGACAGACTCTGTTGCCCATGACGGTTGAGTTGAGTTGAGTATACCCCATTTCCAGACACACCCATGTTAGTAGATGAATTCAACACCCATCGGTGTAATTGGTCGATCAGTGTTTCTTCCGGGCTTGACATCACCTCCCAACAGTTTCTGGGCTTCCAAGGTGCATGCTGCTTGGGTGCACATCCCAGTTTCTTAGTGGCTAATAATCATACTAAAGCCGCCCCAGTTTCATGAACCCCAATGATTCACCTTGGTTAGGAAAACCATTTATCAAAACCGGGTCCTTCACCCCATGGGCCCATGGGGCTATATTTCTGTGTGATTTTCGCGCCTGTTCCAGAACTTTTTTGTACTGTTTCCCCAGCTTGTACAGCTGCTTCTCCACCTTTTCGGCCGCCTTCAGAGATGAACGAGGCAAGCAAGTTTGGTCAAGGGAAAAATGAGAAAATGACGGAAAATGGGGAAAATGAATTAAATCATTGTGAAGTGGAGCATCAGATTTTTGGGGGGTCAGAGACTAATCAGACTAATCCCTTCCCCCATTTTTGTATCACACCCCTATATCCACCATGGTCAAACATACGGGCTGAAACCACATCTCCGGGACCATCCGGCGCAGCGTGCTGACCTGAATCTGTCTCGTCATGCATTTGTTGTTCATCTGCAGCCATGGGCAATGGCGGCCAGGTGGCGGAAAAGAAGAAATGCCACGCTTACCATCCCAGAAAGCATCCACGACTGGGGGTCATTGAAACAAACCATACCATTTCTATGTGGCATACGAAAAAATGCCATTTTTACCACAAAAGCGTTTATGGAATTTGTTTTACCTTATTGCAGCAAAGTTGGAAAACGATCCCACGCTGGTTTTTCCAGAGGCTCCATCAGTGACCGTGCTCAGGGTGGGGGAGAGTTCCTTGAGGCGTCCATCCTCCAAATACTTCACTTGTCGGAAATGGGGACTTTCTGTTGCCCCAAACAAAATGGTCCCCTGATGAATTCGTTTCACAATTTTCCCGAAAAAGGTCTAGCTACAGAGTTCACGATTTTCATGACCTTCGCGTACCATGGCCAATCTTAAATACCCGTTTCTTTTTGTTGGTCAGTCTATTTCTCATGGCGCTAGTTTTGCCATGGCGAGATAAAACAGTCTATACGTTTATATACATATACATAAAAATGTGTGTGTGTGCGTGCTGCACATCTCTATATATATACGAGTATATATATATACACAGTGTGTATATATATATGTACACATGTACACATACATTGCGTATAAGCACATAATGATGTATAAAATGTAAATAAATGTAAATAAGGTATAAAATGTATATAATGTATATCATGTATGTCATGTATAATGTATATGGAATACTAAAAAAAACGCATATAGTGTATATAATGTATATAATGTCTGTCATGTATAATGTAAATAACGTAGATAATGTAAATATCGTAAACAATGTATGTAATCTATATGATGTATATGATGTATACAATCTAGATAATGTACATAATGCATATATTGTATATATACTGTATGTAATGTATATAATGTATAAAATCAATCTATATAATGTATATGCATGTGTACTGCATGTATACTGTATAGAAATACAAATATATATATATATTTATTCATTTACTCAATAAATGATATATATATACATATATGTACAAATACAGATATACAAATATATGTACATATATACATATATACGAATATACATATGTACGAATATACATATACATATACATATATATGTATATATATAGGCTCGTCCAGGCTCTTGGAACCACATACAAGGGGGTGGGGTGGGATGTTAACGTTCATGTGAACTTGCGGCAGCAGTTGATGCTACGCACACGCGGGGTGGGGGAGGGTGGGGTGGGATGTTAACGTTCATGTGAACTAAAACACCGTGTTCATGTTCATGCTAATGCTGCTGATGATGATGATGATGATGATGTGATGATGATGTGATGATGATGATGATGATGACGACCCTAATGAAACTTGTCAATTCCGCGACATGATTTCGTCACGGAATTGACAAGTTTTACCAACCTAATTCAGGTTTGCGCGGTTCCAAGAGCCAGGACGAGGCTATCTATGTATACATATATATATATATACATATATATACATATATATATATATACGTATATATATAATATATATATATATATACATGTATAATAATGTGTTGTTTGTTACAATTCTATATATGGCAAAAAAAAAACACATCAAACCAACTTCATTTCGGTCGACAAAAATTACAACCCGCACCTGCAACTGGAGCAGCTCCTGGAGTCAACAATGAGACGACCAAGAATAGTGGATTCATGGGTACATGGTATATCTAGATTTACGGGTTTGTCGTAGTTATGGCCTGAGTCTTGTCGCAGTTACTTTTTCTTTGTCGTGGTCAGGCACCGGCCTACTATATACATCACCACAACAATGGGATTAGTGAGTGTATTCAATGGATTGTGAAATGAAGATAGAAAACTGCTCCGCGGTTTGAGCGCAATGAAGGGTTTCTAGCTTGGAGACTGAGTGCACCACAAATGGGAATATCAACAATTACAACATGACAGGACAATGAGTGCATCTGAATGAAACTGGCGTAGTAGTTGAGCCACCCATCCTTTGCCCAGGCTTCCAAGCATCGCTATATGATGAGATATCTATAAAGAATATGTATAGTAACCGTAGTAACCCAATCAAAAACATAGAAAAGTAAAATTCCGTGTTTTTCTATAGTGACGGACAATCACTTAGAACGTAAATTTTTTTCCAATTTTTTTTCCGTACTTAGAACGTAGCAAAATTTCATCACTTAGAACGTAGGGAAAATTCATCACTTAGAACGTCAAAATATCACTTAGGCCCATTTATCACTTAGAACGTAAACCAGCACTTAGAACGTGCTAAGTGATTGTCCGTCGCTATATAAACTATTTTTTCGATTTCAAAATCAGTTAAATTTCCTTATATAGCGCAATTAAACATATTGCCAAAAATTGGATTTCGAAGCGGACCCTAATTCTAATCCAACCCTGCCCATTCCGAATAGCTATTTCAACTTCTGCCTTTTTTGATCAAAAATTGAGATTCAAAATGGTTTGGGCTCAAATGCTTTCAACAGTCTCAGTCACAGGTTTCTGGCCTTGCGCACTTTTCCGTTTTACCAGCCCGTAGTCCCCAATATCAGCAGAGCACATTCGTACTCAAACCCCGGGCCTGCAGCTGCAGGCACTCACCCCTGAAAAGGAGTTGAGGTTCAATGATTTCACTGAACCAGAAAACTTAAGTCACATTCTGCCTCCATCAGTTGACGCGAGCTTTCTTGGCTGGTCTTTCAGCCAAAGCATCCGTCTCAACCAGGGAGCTCTTGTCTTCCTTTTTGAGACTGTTGAACCATTGCCATGCCCATGTCTGTACACCGAGAATGGCTGCCTCCTTTGAGCGGCAGATGCCACGAACTGTGCTAGCAGGTCCCTCTTGAAAGCTCAGGGACTTTGATTTTCGGCCTTGAAACACAAAGCCCTGTGGCAAGTAGCACTGGACAAACGGAGAGCTAGTGGCAGGGTTGCCAAAATATGGCTTTGATCCTGGTGGCCATTCACCCTCCGGACGCCCTCGTGCACATTGGTCAGCATGAACTTTTCCAGCATCAGCTCGTACCTGGCCCGTTTGCTTCAGGTAGTACGTGGAAAGCAATCTGTTCGGAAAAAGACATGTAGCCTTTAAATGGCTGCATCAACGCGATGAGACATAACCTTTCTTTCAGAACCTCTTGGTTTTTGGTTTCAAATGTCAAAACGTGAATCTTGCAGGCAAATTGATTTTCAACAACTCCCATCGACGAAATCTTATTTTACTTTTTGTGATCCCCACCGCGGCATTGTTCATCGCTGCATCTCTGGTCTTTTCAAGCAAACATATCAGTAAAAAAACCACCTCAGCACGAGACTTGCATTTGCAACCAAAACCTGCAGTATCATGTTGGTAGACACTCTGAACAAGAACAGGCAAGATCATTGCCATGCTCGTGACGTACACATATAATGAGTCAGAATACCGAAGCTGACCTACGTTTTGACCATTTGTCTAACGTGTGTTTGTGACATATTTATGTTTTGACATTTTATTTGGCACAAAGTTTATGACATTCTATTTAGCATATGTTCGGATATTCTAGCTGGCATTTCTTTTGTTTGATTCTGTCTGTTATGTAATGTGTTCTGTTACGGCGCCCCTCGCATTGTGGTGAGCCTGCCATAGTGCCTAGGGACCGAAAGAGGGCAAACACTTGCAAAAATGTTTTTGATAGTGTTGGAAAAATAAGCTGGTGGACTTTGCCAGGAGGAGAGGAGAGGAGGAGGGACCAGATCAATCTGTAAAATCTAGAGACCCTTAACCGCCTTAACCCTTAACCAGCATTTAGGGGGAAAAACGATCAAACAAAGGTGAGGGACTGTTTCAGGTTCTGCTACGGGATCCTTGGGTTCTTCCACCGGAACCACATCTGGCTCTGGCTTCCTCTCTGCCACAGGTTCATGATCACCTTGCCGGTCATCATCCTTTTCATCACACATGCCACAAACAACATTCACCATTTCACCCAGCTCTTCGTCTTCGGATTGCCCGTCCAAACGATCCCAGTCTTCGTCTCCAGGCTCTTCCTCCTGTCGAGGAATTGTTTTTTTCCCCACCTGCCAGGTGAGGGTTGTTAGATTTTATCAGAGCTGTTGTCCTCCTCCTGCTTTCTCCTCCTCCTCCGCCTCCTCCTCCAGTTTCTCCTCGACCATGTCTGCATCAACTTCCACCTCCACTTCCGCCTTGCCAACTCTTCGCCAATCTCTTCGCCAACTTCCCAGCTCAGTGCGCACTGCTGGACCTCAACCTGGGACATTCCTAGCTCAGTGCGCACCGCTGGACCTCAACCTGGGACCTTCCCAGCTCAGTGCGCACCGCTGGACCTCAACCTGGGACCTTCCCAGCTCAGTGCGCACCGCTGGACCTCAACCTGGGACCTTCCCAGCTCAGTGAGCACCGCTGGACCTCAACCTGGGACCCTCCGAGCTCAGTGAGAACCGCTGGACCTCAACGGCCAGATAGAATGCCAGAAGATATGCCAGAAGGTATGCCAGATAGAATGTCAGAAAGAATGCCAGAAGATGTGCCAGATAAAGTGCCAGAATGTTTGCCAGATAGAATGCCAGAAGGTATGCCAGATAGAATGCCAGAAGGTATGCCAGATAGAATGTCAGATTGAATGCCAGAATGTATGCCAGATAAAGTGCCAGAATGTTTGCCAGATAGAACGCCAGAAGGTTTGCCAGATAGAATGCCAGATAGAATGTCAGAAGATATGCAAGAAGATATGCAAGAAGATATGCCAGATAGAGTGCCAGAACATATGCCAGAAGATATGCCAGGTAGAATGCCAGAAGATATGCCAGATAGAATGCCAGAAGATATGCCAAATAAAATGCCAGATAGAATGCCAGAAGATATGCCAGATAGAATGCCAGAAGGTATGCCAGATAGAATGTCAGATAGAATGCCAGAATGTTTGCCAGATAGAACGCCAGAAGGTTTGCCAGATAGAATGCCAGATAGAATGTCAGAAGATATGCAAGAAGATA